GTGGGTCCAGACTGTGCGCGGGTCCCCGCCAGTATCACGGGGCTGAGGCCAGTGGCTGCTACCACCTGGGCTGCCTACAAAGGCGGTCCAGTGTGGAACTGCCCCAGCCCCACTGTGTGCCCAGGAGGACGGCAGTACGCACCACTGTCGGGAGTGCGAAGTAGGCATGGGGGCCAGGTTGGGGCTGTGTGCATTTCTGGCTGAACCGTACCTGCCAGGGTGAGTCTGGAACAGGCGGCTGTGTGCTGGTGGTGGTGGTGGGGAGGCACTGCAGGGCACGTGGGCTCCAGGCTGTTGCAGGGAGGGGGTGGATGCTGACCAGTTGAGGGAAGTGCACATGGGGGGCTCCCATGCACACCCCACCATACCACACCCTCTCCCACACACACAATCACATACCCCACAAACACCATACCCAACCACCACCCTCCCCCTACCCTCCTGCACACACACACACCCATGGGCCTCTGGGGGGAGTCGCACTCACTGCTACCTGCACACATGTGCCCACACCCTCCTACATACATACTCCCAGCCACCTTCTTCCTTCACAAACCCTGTACCCAGCCAGCCCCCCACATCCACACGTGCCCCCCACAAACTCCATACCCCTCCCCACCCCCACAATATACAAAAGTAAGACTTCATTTTGAGCTATTATGCAATTACTTCCATATACATGACACAAATGCACACAAACCAGGACAAAAATATCTTTTAAAAATAAAATTAAAATATGTTATTGTAGATGTTTGATTTTTAGTATATAATTTTTCTTCTGGTTCCTAGATAGCAAACCCCCTTCCCAAAAGGAGTACTTCTGGGGCAAGGGGAGGGACTGCTAGTGGCAAAGGTCAGGGGTTAGGGGGTGGGGCTTCCAGTTGCAAGATGATGACCAGGGGTGTGGCTATCCTTGTGGTCATGGACAGCTCGCCAAAACTCATTAAGCAGCCCTCTAGGTGAAATAATTGCCTACCCCTGTGTTAGGCCGTGTGTAGATGAAACAAGGGGCGTGTGTGCACAACACTTTAAAGGGGGGTAAATGCTTTTGCACTGCTTTAATGGTGTCGATGTTTGCATGCCTCAGTGGGGTATTGTGCATTAATTCCAGCTGCTGTAGAAAATTCAGCAGTGTAATGTGCCTTAAATGACTTGGGCTGCAGCAAATGAAAACTTCTCTGAGGACTTTTGCTTTGCTCCCCCTACAGCTGTGGAGCAAAGCACTAGGCTCTGTGCAGCTCTGCAGGAAACCCTGCAGGCAGCCTGGCAGCAGCCCAGGAAGGCAGGCTCTGCCCAAGAAAAGTGGTGAGCCTGATCTTTTCCCGCCCCCGCCCCCTACCTCCCTCTTGGAGCCTGTTTGCCCACCTGAGGTGTGTGGGGGCCTGGTGCTCCCCTCTGCGGCTGCGGTCCCCCCTGGGACCACTGGAGCCGGGTGCCTGTGGGTCAGTGCTGTCTGGGGGCAGGGAGGGCACCTCTGCTGTGGAGGGAAGCCCAGCCCCTCCTGCAGCCCAGGAACCACTCGCCCTCTCTCCCTGCTGCCAGAGAGGCAGGTAAGTTGGGTGTGCACACGAGATGGGGGTTTAATTGGCCCTAAATTGAAGTGGTGTATTTAAAAAACCCACTGCTTCAATTTAGGGCCCCCGTTTCATCTACACACCCTTAAATGCTAACCTTGTGATGGCCACCATCATTTACCATTTAGCTGTAGGTCTGAGGAAGAATGATTACCTGTATGAATTGGCTATGCCTAAGAATGATTCTTAAATTGACACATCAGTCCAATAGGACAGATATGCACATGCCAGCATTTCTAGGGCAAGAGGCCCAGACAGCATTGGTGAGATGCTTATTTCTTTTCAAAAATAGATGTGTCACTCTAATGGCAACCTCTTCTTTTTGTTTCTCCCCATCTTCTAATTCCTGAACATTCAGGGACAGAGAGATGGAGCAAGGCTTCCCCCCCACACTGGGTGATTTCCTAATAAAGTCACAACCACACTACAACAAATTTAGCCTTTGTTTTGGGTGGGTGCAGGGAGCAAACATAGTTCCCCCCATTTGATTCGGAGGTTTGAAGAATGTTGTATTTTGTGTATTTCTTGCACTGGATTAGATGGTGGTTGTCATTTGTGTTTATTTCTCTGTCTACCTACCATTGCAGTAGATGATGTCAAAAAGAGATTGTGTAGGGTTTACCAGACTGTACATTAGGTAACAGATATTTCTATGGGAGAGATTTGCATGGCTTACAATCTTTTCCAATTCCACCAGCATATTTCAGTCCTGTATTTTTAGTTAAAGTGACAAATTTAATTTGAAGTAACAACCTTTTCTCATTTTGAACTCGGGGTACAGAATATTTGTTGGTACAGAATATTTATTTGCTATTGGGGTTTCAGTAGTCCATATAAATGAACATCACCAATAAGCAACAGCAAAACTAGTGAAAAATACTGCTCGTGAAGTATAGACACAAGGCAATAGAATTTGAAAAATATGGTTGACCAAATTGTGGCTGTAAATTTTGCAAATGCATCCTTCAAGGCATGCGTTTGGAAGTCCTGTAATTACCTCAAAATTAGTGTAACTGTTTGTTGGGGGAAGGTGGGTGCAAATGAGGCACCAGTTCTAGGTGCTAACTTGGGGTGAGGGCACAAAAATAGCAGCCGTTACTGGTCTTGGCGACTACACTGTCCCATGCATTGCCACTGCTCAGGCCCCAAAATTTTCTGGCTATGTCCCTGTGCCCAGCTGACAAGACAAGGGTTTATTTGCATGGACACATGTGGAGTTTGCTTTGGTATTCATGGAGTTAACTTTCAAAATTTCTGCAGCTTTTATTTTGAAGCTAATTGAAAATTTGGGTCCACATCCTATTTCCATTTAACTCAATAACATCCCATTGACATTAGTTGGAACAGAGCTACAATCCTTAATGTGATGCTTTTTCTAGCATCTTAGAGCAAAATTATATTAATTGATAAAGGTTCTGCATTGCTTCATTTTTATAAGACACTTTCAGCTTTCCTGAAACTAAAATTGCCCACAAATCCTGTCTACATGCAGGCATAAGCAAATGTATGGTTCTTTTTTCATTAAGCTGATTAAGCGTTAGCAGCACTTAACTAGGTGATTTGTCTTTTGTGTTAAACTGGTCTTTATTTGCACCCGAATAGAATATTACCTTGGGGATGCCATTTGTTACAGTAGTTTATAATGAACAAGATCGGTATGTCCACGTGCTGGGGAGGAGGGACGTGAAACCCATTTTTTCCATGTATTTAACATCTCAGTCTCTTACTGGGTTTTAGTTCTTGCCTTGTTCTCTACAGGTGCAAGCAGATGACCTACCCTGATGACCTGCCCCAGATTTCGGTGGTGTTTATTTTTGTAAACGAGGCACTGTCTGTCATCTTGCGCTCTGTGCACAGTGTTGTGAACCATACTCCATCCCATTTGCTCAAGGAGATCATTCTGGTGGATGACAACAGTGATAACGGTGAACATTACTAACATCTGCTTTTTATTCTTATGTGTTTTATCTTGTGTTTCCTAATGGGACTGACATGTAAACAAAAACTACCTTGCCTGCTTCTATTTAAATGGAGTTTTCTAATATTTGCCTGAATGGGAATTCAGTCGGGGCCCATCTAAATGAGATGGATTGGGGAAATTCACAAATAAAACTTCTGATTTGTAAATAAGAAGTTGGATCTCAAACTGGTGACAATGAAAATCAAACTATCTTCCTTGAAGTCAGTAGGGTTGACCAGCTGAGGATCTGGTCCCATGAGCCCAGTAAGGTTGTGCTACTAAATTACTGAAATGACTCACTTGAGTAACTACATATTGGCATCAGTAAGGTTTGTAAGATCTAATATATTCTTGCATGAAATTCTTGACAGAATATAAAACTTTACCAGAACTGGGTGTTTTTTTTAAAGCTGCAGACAGTTTATTCAGTTGCCAAATTTTCACCAGGACAATATGTTAGTGAATAGCCCCAAATCTCAAATTTAACAGTTATGTTTAAACAGGAAATTGAGGCTACTGAGTCCTTCTGAGGATAGTGTCCTCTCTTGTCTACCTAGGGATAACTAGGAAGCAATTCCACTGAAGTCCACACAGTTGTTCCCAGTTGACTCGGGTGTGAGTTAAGATCAGAATCTGATTCTGAATTGTTTTGGTACTCGACATGTATCAGTTAGCTTGTTTGAATCAAATGACAAGAACGGGCACAAAGCCAATGGAACAATGAAGTCATGAAGTTAATGAGGACAAAAATAATGTGCGGTAACTAATATTAATCTTGACACAACTAAAAATATAGATCAGCATGACCTTTTCCTTGTTAACAATTATGTTGTAAAGGTACATATTCTTTTTGTTTCACGGTGTTTCTACCTAAGAAAAAAAATGAAGATTCAGTGTCTTCAAATAGCTCCAGCTAAAATAAGATCTCAAATATAGCATTTTCCTGCTAGCCCAGCAATTTAAACCCTCCTTTTTCAGACAGTAGTCTTTCTCAAGAACTTCAAAAAAGTGGGTCAGTGAGACAAACAAAGAAATAAAATAATAATAAAGATGATAATAAAACCCACACCCAAAAGTACAAGACATAGAAGTGCTTGGTCAAATTCTACTCTCACTTACACCAGTATGATTGTCAAGTCATGATTTTAGTTTACTGGGGTTATTCAGGACACTGACCAGTGTAAGAGAGAGCAGAATTTGAGTCGGTGACTGCAAGTAGCTTTCCCCACTGCTTTTCCAGGTAATTAAGGATGAACCACATTCTTTGGTTTGAATGGTAATTGTTCTATTCTGTAATGTGGAGAGCCTCAACAGACGTCCCTAATGCCATGGAGGCTACCACAAATGTATTTAGTGAATATATAATATCTAAAATCTTGTACGTAAAATTTAGTCTAAATAATAACAAGGCTGAGGCTTTTTAAAGAAGCAGATAACAATTTGTCTCTCTATGAGCCTACTGAAAGGAAGCAGCTGGTGAATTTGGACTTGCATGTCATTAAATGAGGTCAATGGAACAGAGAAGGGGCCTGGTTTTTGATTTTCAGTGCCAGGTTTCGTTTTAAGATGAAGATATATGTGGTTACAGCTTCTGAGTGGCATCTAAGTGCAAACCCTTAAGCTCCCAAGTCTCATTCTGATTTGGCTCAGTGAAGGCATTGGGAAAATTATCATTGGCAAGTGTAAATCAGAATCGCCTCCACTGATGTCAACTGAGTGACAGTGGTACATGGTCAGAATTGGGACTGCAACTCCAGGCACCCAAGAAGTTGTCCAGGGAACTTGTAAAATTATTATTTTGGAACTGATTCAAGCTTGAATTTCTCTAAACAATGGACAAAATCCCAAGTCTCATATTGAGCCCCAATGTCTATAAAAGCCAGTTTCTACAATCTAATAACCAGACTGCATCAGGGGAGATGTAAAGAAACACCTCAATTCCAAGCCAAGGCCTAGGGATTTGGCCTGCTTACGTGAGCAGAATTTGCCAATTATTTGGAAACAGCTAAACTTCGGGATTTTTTCCCCCTGTAGTCTTAAAAATGTTTGCTCCAGGATAAATCGGAATGAATTAAGATGCTCTGTTCTTGGTTGGACTCTCTTTGAGAGCGTGCTTATGTTTCTATTTGCAGTTGAGCTGAAGTTCAATCTGGATCAGTATGTCAATAAGAGATACCCAGGCCTGGTGAAAATAGTGCGTAACAACAAACGGGAAGGACTGATTAGAGCCAGAATCCAAGGCTGGAAAGCAGCAACCGCTCCCATTGTTGGTTTCTTCGATGCTCATGTTGAGTTCAACACTGGCTGGTAAGACATGTTGATGGCCACATGCCTGTCTGCATTCTGTACTTCCCACTGGGAGATCAGTGCTATTACACTGTATCTTGCATCCCAAATGCTTGAGACTTGTTCAGTCACAGGGGAGGCAGGAGAACTGCAGGGATGAGCTCACAGGAGGCTGATGTTACAGCTACATTAGCAATTTAATTTTAATAATGCAGCCCTGTAAATTGTGGAAGCCTTCTGCAGTAGCTACTAGATCCACTAAAAACTACTGTTCTCATTTTCATGTGGTTCAACATATCAGGAAGCATTTTTACCTTGAAACTAATCTGGTCTCTCTGAAGTTGGGTAATGGGGAAAAGTCTTTCAAGCAAGTTCTGTGCTCAGGACAGATGGATTCTTTTTAAAGGACATTTGCAGATACTTTCATTTTGTTTTATTTTGTTTATTTTCCACTGTCATTAATTTCTTGTTCTGTTTACTCTCTGTAGGTCATTTCCCACTAGAAGCTTGAATATAATTTCCATATACTTTTTTTTCCCTTCTTGTATTCACATTGGGGGAAATTGATTTTTTTTTCCCCTTTGTTTCTAATGGGCCTTGAAATTAGCATGCCTCACTTTGTTAGCATCCTGTTTTCCAAGCCAGCGGCACTGATGACATGAGCATAGCTCTGAGTTTAATGGGTCAGATCCTCAGCTAGAGTAAATCTTCAGAACTGTGCTAACTTCTGTGGGCCCAGGCTGCTTGAGCATTTTACTACTGTCAGTTCCTCCATGATTCCTGAGGAGCCAGCAGAAGGGGAGAACAAAAGCAGACAAAATCATTTTAGTGTAGGTTATACCAGGCTTTCCTGTTCTGAGATATTTTAGTAAATTCCCCAGTAGTTTTCCCTACTAGTAGGGTTGTGTGAAGCTTCGGTCCCTGATTCGATTTGGCAGAGATTTGGCTTGATTCGGTAGCCGAATCTCCGAATCCAACTCCAATCAGGAGACCCTTTAATCTCTCCGAATCCAATTGGAACCCTTCGAATCGATTCGGAGAGATTCGATGATTTGGACATGGACACAGCTTTAAATGTTTTTTCTACGTACCTCAAGGTACGAGGCAGCTTGTCAACGCTGCGATGGTGGGGCAGATGGAGCGTCCCACAGGAGTGCGGGAGGGTCCCAGCACGCTTGGCAGCAGACTCAGAAGTGGACCAGAAGCACTTCCAGTCTGCTTCCAGATCTGCTGGGGAGTGCACGGGGGGGTCTCCCCCATGCCCCTCCAGCTTGGCGACTGGTATCTTCTGGGTCTGGAGGGGCACCTGGGGCCATGGGGGGCCCCCCAGCGCACTCAGTGGTGGACTCGGGCGTACTTCCGGTCCACTTCCGGGTTCACCGCCAAGCATGTGGGGAACACCCCCATGCTCCTGTGGAACGATTTGCAGTGTTCACGAGCCACGCTTGGTACCTTGAGGTATGTAGGAAAAACATTTAAAGCTGTGTCTGTGTCCAATTCGCTGATTCTCTGAATTGGCATCAAATCTTCATATTTGGATTTGGCCAAATTGAATCACTGTCCTCGATTCAGGCCAAATCTGAATTGAATACAGCCCATTTTCACACACCCCTACCTACTAGAAGTAAGTTCTGAATGTCCTAGTAGGCACTTTCAGCTCAGAAAGAACTAGTAGATATATGCTACATAGTAGGAACATCCATTCTTCTTCTCGTGTCCTTGTCATAAACTAGATGTTTTTTCCAGAATTGTGCACAAGCGATAGTTTTTTCCATTATTGTAATGAGGTCCTCTTTTGTATAGGTCTCATAGAGGAGTCGGCAATGAGCAGGTGCTCCACACTCTGTACTTCAATGCACTCGCATATATCCGTATTGTTAGAGTAGTCCCGTTTAATTATGTTTGTTTTTGATCTTCCAGTTTGCATGCACAGGCAATTTAGGCATCACCATGTTGGCCAGTCCAGGTCAGCCACTCTGGAAAGGTCCTCATGGGGTTCCAGGTGCATTTCAGAGGACCTGATTGCATGTAATCTTTCCTTCCATAACCTCAGTCATGCCCTGTCAGCTGTTGTGTTCAATGGTGCAACCCTGGTCACAAAACTTTCATGCCTTAAGCTGTTTAGTTACTTCTGTGTGACCATAGAGTGGATACCTAGGGTCTTCATCTACATCCATTAAAAAACAAAACAAAACAATGCTATTGTATAGCAACTGTGTGCATTTTGGCTTCCTTCTGGGATGAAGTTTCCAAAAAATGATAAAAAGTAGCTCTAGTATTAGCTAAAGAGGAGGTTTTTGTTGTTGTTTTGGTAGAGATGCCTGCAAAAGATGTATTAATTATGGGAGGGGGTGTACATTTGCATCTCAAAAGTCCTTATCAAATGGAAGATGAAATAAAGTAAGGTGTACTGTATGACTACTGATTTGACTTGGCTTAAGTTATTTACCATCCCGCACTCCAGTGACCATCTGAGGGCCATTCTAGTGTCAGTTGTAACCATTTGAAAGTTGCTTGCGCTTTGCTTTTTAACTAGTATGTACAATGTGACTTTCAGTGTTTATGCAAGGCAATGGACAGAGACCTAGGAAATCTAGATGGCTTTTCATTTAGCACCTAATGCAGCCACAGGTCAGTTTTCTCTCCTCTGCATTGAAGGAAACAATGCTTACCACTTTTGTAAAGCACTTTGAGATATGCTGATGTAACTGGCCTGGGTCATAGCATCATAGCAAAATAAGGGAGATGTGTCATTGTTTCCTTCAAGCTTGTTGTTTTTTATGAGCATTGCGAGGGGCCGAGATTAGCATGAAAAGGACCTGATGTAGTGAATGAGACTTTATGTGTACTTCATAAAGGGCTTGCTGAAATGCTTCTTCCCTGGTATAAGCTTCTCTCAACAGATGTGTTTAATTCTTATTACCACCATTGAGCCTATCTCTGCAGCTGCTTGGGGGGATGGTTTCCTTCTGAAAGAGCTCTGCTCATTGAGTAGCAGCAGAAAACTAATGAGTACACCAAATATACATCAAAAGCATAATGTAGCTCATTGCTTCAGAATCACAGATGGGAGCCAACCTTGTTCCTTTATCTTTCTTCTCCTATTCCTCTTTCTCCTAAAAACTTAGATCTGCCTTTCAGCTATCTCAATCACCCTTTCTACCTTCCTGTTTACCCCCCACTTTCATTGCCCCCACCCTCATGGCCTGACAAAGTAGCCACTTCTCTTGCTTTTCTCCTCCCATCCTTCCAGCTGAAATGGATGTGAAGGAGGTCCTCGAGATTTGTACCATTTAATATTCCACATGAGGTTATTGTCTACAGGCACAAGAACACCATGTACCTTATCCTTCATCCCAGAAGGAAGCCAAAATGCACACAGTTGCTATACAATAGCATTGTTTTGTTTTGTTTTTTAATGGATGTAGATGAAGACCATGTACTCCTATCCTTTTACAGTATGAAGTTTGAGGGAGTCTTAGGGTGTAGACAATTTAAATGTTTGCATCAGTTTAACAAATAGGGGACAGATAATGTAACTTTGCCCAAGCTGGTGGAGAGTCACCACTCAGGGGGCAAAAGTCCACTGGTGTAAGTTACACCAGTTTAGGTTTCATCTGTCTGTGTCTATCCTAGGGTAGCCATTTGCTGAAGGCAAATAGGCTACCACCACCTACTGCTCTCCTACCACCTAGTGGACTGGTCCCATAGTAGGCACCTCCTGTGGGATCTGCCCTGGGATAGTAAGTAACACTGAGGCATGTATAGGTCTGCCCCTGCCCTGAGCCAGGCTAGAGTCCTGAATCTTCCTCACACTGAAGCAAAGCACTGCCCACTTCCTGTATCCACCATCAAGGTCTCAATCCTGACTGATCAATTTTTCTGTGTTGTGCATAATAGGATTCTTTGGCTTCTAGTTGTTGAAAACTGCATACGTTTCCTTTGTAAGACAATTACAGTGGCCTTTTCTCACAGCAAGAGGCTCCAGTTTTTCACTCAGTTTGTCTCCTAACTTGACAAGTGGGAAAATTTGTAATGTTGCCTCCTAAGGGCTGGAAGAGGAGGGTCTTCCAGTCTGAGACCAGGCAAGGATTGAACAGGTTTTAACTCGTGTGTGTTGACTTTCCTGGCTCCCCTGTGCAGCTCTTCCAGTCAGTATTGCATGGTCAGCAATTCTTTGGTGCAGCAGTGGCACCCATGTTTCCAACCACAGGGTGTGCCAGAGGAGTGATACCCAACCTTGCTTCAGTTCTTCTGTCATTCACTGTTTGTTTATGTGTTTTTTCTGTGCTGGCCATCGCTGACTGCAGGGTCTGTGCACCTCCATGTGTTAATAGATGCAGACAGACACACACACGGTGCCCTCGGCAAGTACTTTTACTGATGGGCGAAGAGGAAGACTTGACTTGCCAAAAGCCATGCAGAAAGTCTGTGGCAGAACTAGGAGTTGGACTCAACTCCTGAACCCCAGTCTAGTCCTTTAACTACAAAACCCATCCCTTCATCTCTGTATTGTCATTGCTGAAACCTGCACCAAGCTGTGTGGCAGTGGACTATCAGCATGGCAGTTCGGCAGGGGAGCTATAATGCCACTAATAGGGTTCTGATGCATATTCTAACTACAACCATGATACTTTTACATGGAGCCAAAGATTCCCTGTCAATTTTTAGCCGTTGGTTGATATGGGAAAAAATCACGTACAGAGCACAGACCATCTCGGCTTGTCAGTGGAACTACCAGGCCCAATCTGCTTTACCCTCTGCAGGTTAATACTTATGTAATCACATTCATTAGGGAGAGGTATAGAGAAATACCTCATCTTTTTCACATGAAATATTCACAGATTGGACACTGACCATATTTCCCTTTAAATAATAGTAGTTCTCGACACATTTGAGATTTTGCATTATATTGCATTTTACCGTATTATACTCTTATAGCTTAGCTCTCCCAAGATGCTGCTTCTATGCTGAAATACAGTCTTGGAGGAGGTAAAAAAATATTCTGAAAGCTGGCAAGT